TACACACAATAGTGCAGGTACCGTCACCTCCACCTTACACACAATAGTGCAGGTATCGTCACCACCGCCTTACACACCTCCGCAGGTACCGTCACCACCACCTTACACACAATAGTGCAGGTACCGTCACCTCCACCTTACACACAATAGTGCAGGTATCGTCACCACCGCCTTACACACCTCCGCAGGTACCGTCACCTCCACCTTACACACAATAGTGCAGGTATCGTCACCACCGCCTTACACACCTCCGCAGGTACCGTCACCTCCACCTTACACACAATAGTGCAATTACCGTCACCACTGCTCCCAGGGGGCGGCTCCACCGCCTTACACACCCCCGCAGGTACCGTCACCTCCGCTCCCATGGGGCGCCAGCACCGCGTCCTCTATCTTTGGGCGTAGTGTGGTCAGGGGCACTAACAGGGTCAGGCCCCGGGTAGTGTTTAGCGGCTTCCTCTGTTAGATGTTGGGGTGGGCATGGGTATGTCCCTTACACAGTCTTCAGGGCGACTGTATTGTACAGTAGTGTACTAGTGTGCAGTATTGAGTTCAGTGATCACCTTCCATTGTAAATCTGGTGGTTGAATGTACTTGGGGGATCTGTTTGGGATTCAGAAACCCTGGTAAGGGTCCTGGAAGCAGGGTATTAGCCAGGAATGAGTATTGTGGGAAGTACTGAAAAAATATTTGGGAGTGCAATTTTTTTGTACGTGTGTCTCGGTCGTAATAATTTAGGCTGTGCTACTAATTTTTGACCGTGCAAATCACGGCTGCACGGCTCGCTGGCTAATACGTTGCATGGAAGTATAGAGTGACGTTTTGCATGGCGGCAAAGCTGATGGTTGGTAGACAGATGCTGAAACACTAGCCTAGCGACAGTGAGTGGCGAGGAGTAGACTATGATTACAGCAGGGATGTTCGTGTGTCTTCAGGGCTCCCGCGGCGGCAGCGGAGGCGGGGGGTCATCGCTGGCGCAGGCCGTGCAGGCACACCTGAAGGCCACGATCACACCACAGCGACTGCTCACACGCCAGCACTCCATCTCATCCGTCTACGACAAATCCATCGGCTCCGAGGAGGAGATAGTGGAGCGAGCAAAGCAGGTAGGGGGCGCCACTGCGCTAAATACAGTAATAACAATAATTAAATAATAAAATTTATTTAAAGCACATTTTAGCAGGCACCAAAGAGATGGTATGGACAGTAATGTGGTGTGTGGTATGCAGTCTACAGCACTATATAGTACCATTCACGTTTTGCGTAGAGTGAGGGGAAACTGTTTCTCCGCTATCATATCAAGTTACACAGTAGCAACAGGAAGCTTGTGTAGCAGCGGTTCATCTGTTTCCCTGTAGGAGGCGCAGGTGATGCAGCGAGTGTCGGAGCTACGTAAGCAGGGGCTGTGGTCGGCCAAGCGCCTGCCCAAGGTGCAGGAACCACAGCGAGCGAAGGCACACTGGGACTACCTGCTCGAGGAGATGGCCTGGATGGCCACCGACTTTGCACAGGAACGCAAGTGGAAGATGGCGGCCGCGAGAAAGGTGACTCACATTTTTTGTCCTAGGCTGGCCGGCGTACTGTGGGGCAGCGTGTGACGATGTACTGTAATATACATAATAGCAGGTGGTGGATCGTAATAGCTGGTGTTAGATCAAATTGATTTCAAGGCCAATTACCAAAGCTTGTTTGCAAGACCCATGCGAGCAAGTCGTGACCTTGGCCGTAGATAAAAGTCGCCTGCGATGTTGCTCTTGCACGTTGCTGGCACAGATTCTGTCGACATACACTCCCCCCTCCTCCCCTCCTCTTCCCCTCCTCCCCCCAGCGAGAATGCAATGTGTATATATATTAGGTGTGGAATGATTCATAGGTATATCAACGTATAATTATCGTTTACCATTCACAATACAAGTGAAATACAGTGTCAATACTACACTGATTAAAATCCATATTATTTAGTTCATCTAAAAACTGATGAAACGTAATACAATTTACAATTCCGTATCAGGTTTTAACTTAGTGCTCCATGATACTGATTTGTAAGCATTCACATAGAGTCCCGGTTGAGTGTATGCTAGGCGGTTTCTCTTGAAAGCTGAATCGGTGAGCTGTATCGTGAAGGCTGTATCATCATACAGATTGTATCGTGAGCTACCCATGTCGTTCCTTCGCTAATGTATATAGATGTCAGGAAAAAAATTCCTTTTTTTACGGGAGCTCTTTTTCAAAAGTCTGTGGGAAAAATAGCTCTCGTCAAAAATGTCACGGGAGCTATTTTGAGCCTTACGGGAGCAATTTTGGAGGTCTGAAGAGCGAATCGCTCATCGCTTCCGTGTATTTTTTACCTTGAGGCCATCCTTAAAAAATTCTATGTTTGCTGTCCCCCGACCCATGATTTTTTTAGTGGGTAGGTAGGTAGGTCTTTTTTTGTGTGAGGCATAATAGTTATTTTAAGTCTGTCTTCATGTTTGCCACACATGCTTTGTGTTTTAGTCTTAACTATAAGGAATGTATATGCACCTTCCAGAATACCAGTAGAAGAGTTATATTTATATTTATATAGACAAAAATGGAACCCAAAATGTCAAAAAAAAATTTTGGGTCGCGGCTATTTTCGTGGGTCGGTCGGAGGGCAGCAAACATAGAATTTTTTAAGGATGGCCGGATAGATATGTGTGTGAGCGCGCGAGGTAACGGTGGCTGACGTCGTGGTGTGGGTGATGGTGATGTGTATAGATGTGTGTGTGAGCGCGCGAGGTAACGGTGGCTGACGTCGTGGTGTGGGTGATGGTGATGTGTAAAGCGTTGGTGCGCGCGTCCTTGCAGCTGGCGTGGGCCGTGGCGAAGTATCACAAGGATCAGCAGGAGAAGGAGAAGAGAGCGGAGAAGGAGGAGCAACACCGACTACGCCGCATCGCAAACTCCATCGCACGCGACATTCGACAGTTCTGGTCCAACATCGAGAAGGTGAGTGAGGCTCTCTCTCTCTATCTCTCTATCTCTGTGTCTCTCTCTCTCTCTCTATCTCTGTGTCTCTCTCTCTCTCTCTCTCTCTCTCTCTCTCTCTCTCTCTCTCTCTCTCTCT